GTTTTAATATACTTTGTGTATTTTACCAATTATTTCCCTTTTATTAATCATTTAAATATTATTTTATTAAATATATTTTATTAAATTTGTTTGTTTCTGATTTGGATATTATTTTGGGACAAGTACCTCAACCTCATTGGATCTTTGATGTTGATAGGTTGAAAAAACCAAATCCACAAAAATGGATGAATGATGTTGATGATATTTGAAACTCTAATTTAATCTGATACATCCCATTCCTCTTCATCTTATCCCATTCATGTTTTTACTTATGCTACATGTTTTTGGAGAATGATCTACATATCATTTCTCTAACATGTTGGTACATAGAGTGCTATTGACCGACCTCAAAATAGGTGTGACTTCTAGATAAGTCCACTTACGATTGCTTAACATAGGGATAATTCGAGAAATGATCATTTGTGGCCCAAACCTATATTTGTAAGCCCAAGTATGTTTAACTTAAAACCTTGAATCCAATAACTTTTAAGTTCATTGTTAGGAGGCTTTGATCATATCAATCCTCTAATTAACTTCATGAGCTTTGGTTTAAGTGAATCATTTTAACATCATTGATCATATGTGGTTGCTTTCAGCACTTGAAATGAATGATATACTTGACAAAAAGCAAATGAAACTTGTTGTTGAGAGGCTTCGATTTTTATCAATCTTCTACTGAGTTTTCAAATGAAAGCTTCAAGATGGTCATTCAACTAACCTCTAACTTCTAATTAACTAAAAATTGACTTTACTTTATGTTTTCACTTCATGCCTTTATTTTTACGCCTTTACTTTTATGCACCATTTATTTTAGCATTTACATTCCATGTCATTTTTATCTTTGCTCACTTGAGCATTTATCTTTATGTCGTTTTATCTTTTCTCACTTGAGCATTTATTTTTATGTCATTTTATCTTTACTCAGTTAAGCTTTTATTTTTCTTTTAAAGACACTTAATAATCAACTTGAACAATAAAAAAATTTAAAGTTACTTGGACTACTTGGTTACTATCCTTGGAATTGTGGAGTTGTGCACCTCTCTGACTTAGGATTAAAAGACTTGATACTTGGGAACTTGTGGCTCTGTTGTTATTTTGTCTGAAGTTCTCGAGGTTTACTCAAAGACATTGGTTTAATTTTCTTTGTGTGCAGGTTATTCTGAATATATGCTTTGTTTGTGATTGAGAATTCCTCTGTATGCAGCCGTTACTCTTCCCGGTTTTTGTGAAGACTTAATTCATATGAAGTTTGGTATTTCTCAGAGGATTAGTATTCTTGCTTTCTTGGTTTCAATCTAAATTATGGTAATTATACATTGACTTCATATGTCAAGTGTCGGCTTCTTGTGGGTAATATCGCTCTTTTCCTTGGATTTTACCTTAGGCTTTAGGATAGTCCCTTCATCTCCTCCTTTCTCCTTTAATTTCAAAATCTTCTCCCTTCTTTTCAAAACTCTTCTTGTTTTCTAACTTGAACCGCCTTCATAATAAACTTGGAATTAGGTCGATACATTTTCAAAAATCTTTTCTTAAATAAAACATTAATGAATTTAATTATACTTTGACATTTTTCATGAGAAGTCTAAAAGTCAATTAACCTCATTCAAACCATTTTTACACTTTGGCTTTTTACTTTAAAACATTTAAATCTTTCTAGTTGTGATGTGAGCTACTATACTTCTACGATATGTAGTGAAGTGAGATATTTTCCACTTGGGTGTGGAGTGAGGCTATGTTCATTTATAAAATCCAAGCTATATCCTCCACTTTGAGATGATGTAAATTCTCCTTTATCATAATTGTTGGTAGTAAGTATATTTTCCACTCGGATATGACGATGATGTCTTTTCTTTTAAAATTAACCAACACACATGTGTTTTAAATTTTTAGGTGAACTACGAGTACCCTGATCCCTTATTGCACGAAAGGTGGTACGTAGCAACTAAAGGTTCGCAACCGCGGCGGGTGAAAAAACTATTAAAAAAAACTTATTTTCTCATCTCCACCATCTTATTTTGTATACACCTTTTATAGCCAAAATACATAGATTTTCAAAGAGGATCCTATGGAGTACCATAGATATTTAGGGTGCTAATACATTCCATTTTCATAACCAACCCCCATATCTAGATTCTCTCCCCCTCTTATTTGGGTTTGCTCGCTCTTTTCCCATTTCCTTTGGAAACAATAAAGCACAACAATGATTTTTATTTGATTTGTATGAGTAAAGTCAATCCAATGGCTTAGTCTCAACAATTCTATCGCTACAGATGCTTAATCAAAAGTTGGAGTTTCAGACATGTTTTGTTGTTATAATTATTTTTAATAATTTCTGAAATAGTATGTGTTACATATTTGATTACATGACCAGGTTTTTGTTGAATTGTGACATCCTAAATGTTATGTATTAATATTACTCGGATAATTATTATAAAATATGTGGGGGATATTTATGGTGTTACAAGCATGATTACATGTCATGTGAGTCTTGTATTTGTCTACTTCTACTGGTATTTATGTTCTGATATGTACAAGATGTCCTATTGGATGTTCTAATATCCAGTCTATTGTGTCTTGTGTTTTGAGTCAGGTTTCTTGTTATGTCTTGTGTTCTGAGGTATGTGTGTTGCTTCTGCTCATGTGCAATCTTTTAGGAAAAGTTTCTTCTTCTATTGGTTTTCCTATTGAGGGGATAATTGGTTCTCTGTGACAAGAATTGGTTCTGTGTGATAGGGGAATAACTTGGATAGTTCTGAAACACCAGGTTATTTTCTTCCTCAAGTAAAATGTTTACATGTTTCCTTGTAGCTTGCGTATTATTTGTGGTTTTATTCTTCTCTCCAGGTTTATTGTACAAAAGGTTGTTTTAGCCAAAAAATTCCAAAGTGGGAGTTGTTATATCCATGGTTTTAGGATTGACAACAACTATGCTAAAACATGATTCATGACAGATGCTGAGCAAGATGTCATAACATTTGTATCTTAATACTACATAATAGTGTGAAGGTTACACTGAAGACAGATATTTTGCCATATGTTGTGACATGTTATACCAGAACAACAGTACATGATGTTTTAAATATTGACTAATTTGATTTGATTTTGTGATATTTATTTTGTATATATCTCAAAAAATTGCCCAAGTCAAGAGGAATTAATCTGGAACAAGTGAATCAAATCTCCAACAACATTAAAGTTTCTAAAACTGGATGTTGAGACAATTTAGAAACCTTGAAGATTTTTTTCAAGAATTAAAGATATTTTTATACATAATTAGTGCAGCCCTTAGCTTGTGGATCTAGAAATATTTGGGTAAAGATTTTGAAGCCCATGGACTAATGAGGTGTATTTAAAGAGAATACCTAACCTAATTTAATTTAACTTTTCACTATTGTAAAATTATAGGAAGTATAAAGTCTTAGGTTTTAAGAGTCTCTTGTGTTTTGTGTAAATCACCCACGTATCTTTTTATACAGTGTGGTATATAGTTTGTTACTTGATAGTTTATCAAGTTATTGTTACTTAATTATTTATCAAATTATTGTTCTTAGTTGAAGCTTTTAAGCAAGAGTAAGTATTGTTCTCACTCATGAGATTTTAATTCAAAGAGTTGGATATTGTTTATTTGAAGTGTAAACTTCTATTTAGTTTCTATTCTAGTCACAAGGTTTGTGGATGTAGGTATCATTGCAGTGATTGTAAGTGAGATGGGGATCTCATATCTAGATGGTAATTTCTAGGTAGAAGATGCACAAGGTAGTGATTATGCGAGAAGTTGTAGACTAGGACTGTTTAGGCTTTGAACTAGTATTATCATAGTGAATTTTCTTCATGGCTTGGTAGCCCCCAGAGTAAGTGTAGTTGCACCAAACTAGGTTAACAATCTTCCGTGTTATTTATCATTCCGTAATTTATTTTTACAGTTTGAAATTATTCGGTATCAAGAACATATGTATAAACATATGTCTTGACATTGTGATATGATGTTGGGTCATCATTATTAACATGTGTTGCACGAGCCGGAATTTCATGGATATATCGAATTGTGAAATTAAGAGAGTTCTTGAAATAATTGTTTCTTCTTCGAGAAAAGATTGGTCCAGAAAGTTAGATGAAACATTATGGGCTTATTGGACCGCATTCAAAGCGTCGATTGGCCTTAACCCCTTTCAAATTATTTATGGAAAGACTTGTCATCTACCGGTAGAGTTGGAACATAAACCTTTTTGGGCTTTCAAGTTTTTAAATTTCGATCTGAAGTCGAGTGGTGAAAATATAAAACTACAACTACATGAGATCGAGGAATTAAGACTTCAATCTTATGAATCAAATAAACTCTACAAGGATAAAGTGAAAAGTTATCATGATAGGAATATTGTTAACAAAGAATTGAAAACAAGGAAATTGGTTCTATTGTTCAATTTGAGGCTGAAGTTGTTTCTTGGAAAATTGAAATCCAAGTGGTCTAGTCCTTTCTGGATCAAAGAGATCAAGAGCTATGGAGCAATCCTCCTTGAAGACCCTGATACAAAAGCATGTTGGACAATAAATGGACAATGGATAAAAGTTTATATGGGTGGCGACATAGACCGGAGTGTGGCATCAATTCCAATTTTCAATCCTTGAAGTCACTTTTGACTTTCTAGATGAAACGATGTTAAGAAAAGCGCTTATTGGGAGGCACCCCGGTGTTGTAAGTAATGTTGTTACTTTTTATGAATAGTTGAATTTTGGTTGAAACAAAATTTTTCTACAGGTCATGTTAAATGTGTTTCTGTTTTGCATTATTCGCCGGGTGAGCAAATAATTCGTCGAATGAATCTCAATTCGCTAATGGGTCGCGTTTAAGACGTCAGGCGAATCTGGTAGTCAAAAATTTTAAATTTGTTTTATTTTCACTATGGCACTGGTAAATAGGGGTTTTAACCTTGTGAAAATTTTGTTGTTCTTGGGTCCACGAATTAGGCCCATTACTGACCTATCCATGACCCATTCTCTTTATGTCTTTGTCAAATTTTGCTTGTTTTTTTTCACTTTTAACTTTTGACCAAACCCTAGTAGTCGTATCTCTCATTTCTTGTTCTCATTTTTTTGCTCTGATCCTAATTCAACTCTCAAGGTATGTATAAATTTCCCTCTTGTTTGCATTAGAGTTGCATGTGTTATGAAATGTAGGATGTTTGTTGTTAGAATTGATTGATAAAACCCCAAATTTGAGTAATGTTATCATGAATATGGCATAATCTTTGCATTGATTTTGATTCATTTGATGTTTGATGTTGCTAGTTTGGATGAAATAGTTGTGAAAATGATGAACTAGGAGCAGTTTCGTGTGGCTGATTTTTTTTTCTCTGTGCGCGAAATTTCGCCAGGCGAAGCAGGAGCGAGGAGCTCGCGTCTTGCTCACCGGGAGAATGTGGGGCGACTGGCATGAATTTTTTTTTTCCTTTTTTTATGGCCTCTGAGTTTATTTCTGTAGTTCACTCTAATGATATCCCGCATGTTGGCTTTCTTGTTGTGTTTTTATTGGTATTTTGAAGATGCCTCCAAAAAGTTCAGCCACATCGAAGAAGCAAAGAATCGATGCCAGTACCTCTAGGCAGTCAAGGGAATTTGATGCTTCACTTTTCTTCGGTGCGGATAAGCAAAACAAGATCGTGGTTTTGGAGAGTAGAAAAAATTTCTACTTTAAAAGTACAGGTTAATATAAGGGGTTGGCTAAGATTTTTGAGGATCAGAAGTGGCAGGAGCTAGTTGAACGACCTCATAGGCTTAACTATGATCCGGTTATGGAATTTTATGCAAATTCCCTTCCAAATGACGTGAAACCCTTTACTTACACCACTTTTATCAGAGGGAAACAATTGAGTTGTGATCGGGAGGCGATTAATGAGGTCTTGGGTAATCTTCTTTTATTTGGAACATGGGGAGCTTGATGACTTTACTCGAGATCTCAACAAACAAAAGGATTTTAATGCTTTGTCTAGTATAATTTTTCTTAAGGGTCGTATTGCTCAGTTGAATGCATTCGATGTTCTGGTTTATTACCTAAGGAAGGACATGACACCCGAGGCATAAGTGATTCTTTTATTCATTATGCATAACATTGAGCCCAGGTTACATCTTTCCTGTGATTGAAGGTTGTCGTCATCTTGGGAGAAAAACACACAGTCCTTTGGTTTTTCATGGGTTCATTATAGCCATTTATGCTTGTGGTGGGGTTCGTCTACCTACTTTTACTGATGAAACCATTTCAGGTGTGATTGATGAGACTTATGTGGAAAGGTACTATGTGGAGAAAAAGAATAAAAAAGCAGGTGAATCTTCAGCACCATCTGGCTTAGAGGGTCCTCAAGGCCTAAACTATGATGATTATGATCCAAGCAAGAGGTAAATTTGCAACTACATCTGGGATATGATGGAGGATACTCAAAGATCCTTCATGCATATGCAAGCTTGGATGAAGACCTTGCAGATTCACTTTAGGAACCCGACGGTTAACCATCCCCTCCCAACTAGGGATTAATTTCAGGCGCTTTGTAATTGGCTTGTGGATAAGTTTCCTTTGTTTTAGGAAGGTGCAGTAGCTGATGATGCTGATCATGGTGATAATGATGGTGATGAAGGCATGGAGACTTAGTGGGAAGTGGTTGTGACCAAAAGAGGGCTTCAAAGTGAAGAATTTTTTACTTTTCGTTCATTTATTTATCGTTTTAATAGCTTATTATTTCAGTTTAGTATGAACTATTTTGGGTTTATGTATAATGTTTACTTTTTATTCATGTACTCTTTTGTTGGTGTTTTACACCAAACATCTTGGATGTGTAAAGTTGCTTTTTATTTAATTTTAAGATTGTTTGAAGTAATATTAAGTATTATGGTGTTACTATTATGATGTTTAATTTTATGTTTGTATAAAGAAAATTTTGTGTTTTCCCTTGTTCATGGTTTAAATTTCTCAAGAAGCAAGAAATGAATGAATTAAAAAAGTGTATAGTAAATACAAAAATGAGGTGGTGATGATAAAAGTATTGGTTTTATGCATGCAAAACATGTACATTGTTATTTCTTTTTAGAATGCTAACATGATTATGAACTCTGTGCTTTATGTAAAATCATGCCATGTATTATTATGAAAATTTTGTTCATACTTGAATCATTTAGGATAAAACCACAAATGTGAGTGACTTCCATTATTCACAAATTAGATGTTTTTCTTAGTAATTTTTGTTTTATCTCGTGTGATTCATGTTAAATCTTGTATTCATGTTAAAATTGTGGAAACTTAGAAAGGATCAAGGCTTTTTTTTAGAAGAACCACCAATTCAAAAAGGGCTTCAACCAACCTTGTGAGTGTGTAAGCATTAGTCAACCCCTTTGGAGCCATACAATTTTTGAATAATTAAAAATCCAACAAATTACAAAGTATACTACTTAATACTTTTGTTGTTGATCAATTAAAAAGTCATTATTTATTCATTCTATTTTTTTCTTTGTAAACACTTTACCCAATTTGTTTAATTAACCTAGAATGAAGAGAATTGTCTTGCAAGAAAGAAATGTATAAAGTTGGGGAGAATGGTTGGTAATGAGAAAAAAAAGAAAGAATTGGGGGAATATTTTATCTTTTGAAACAAACAGAAAAATAAAGAAAATGAAAAGAAAATAGAGAATAAAAATAACAAGATTGCACTGTGAGAAAAGAAATTGAAGGATGGAAAAGAAATTGATGATTGAGTAAGAATGAAAGTTGTGTAAATTTTAAATGCTCTTCATAATTTTAACTCATTTTTGTTTCAATAGCCTAATATATTATTATTTGTTGTTAAACCAAACCAAGATACAACCTTGAAAAGTCCTTAGTGATATTTGTTACCATGATGTTCTTTTTGTTTTGTTTAGATGAATGCACGAATTATTCCGGATGTTAGCATGATTGCTAGTGAGAGTGTTTTTTCATGTGTAAATATGTGCATAGTTCTTGATACAATTGTTGAAATAAGAGTTAGGTGATTCAAATATGAACATGATTTTGATTAAATATGCATTGTTTGATTTTTGTGTTTAGAACTTAATTCATAGCGATGTTTTAATTCTGAGAATGAAATTGGGAATTACTTGTGCGTGCGCCTATGTGAGTTTTAACCATACATTGTTCTAGTTGGATTTGTATAAAAAATTCTTCTTGTTTCTTTTTGAGTTTTATCTTTGTTTGAGGAAAAAAAATATGCAAGTTGGGTAGTTCTTGTTAGGTGTCAAATATGTGTGTATTTCCATATGAAAAGTTGACATTTTTAAACTTTTTTCATTACATTTGATAATTAAGTTTCCAAGTTTGCTTGATAATAATGTTTATGTGCATAATTGTAGTATTTGTAATATTTTTGTTGATTTTGAAACAAAATCATAAGAAAAGTTGTCATAAGAATGTCCAAGGGAAGAAGATTTGAAGCCAAGCAATTTTTGGCTAATTCCGCATATTCATTGGTCGAGCAATGGCGAGCAAGAGGAGACTCGTCGGACGAGCAAGTGGCGAGCAAGGAGCAAGTGGAAAATAAAAATTCCAGTAGCTACTGACTTGGTATTATTTGGGATCACGTATCTTTCTTAGAGGGAGTAGGAAGCGAGAAATTCTCCGGGTGATTCTTCTTTGCGCTGGGCGAATGAATTTTTTTTTCCAGGGAGGTTTGAGCTTTGAATTGACTAGTGTGAGATCTAAAAGTGGAATTTCTCCCGACGAGTGTCTAGAGCGCCCGAAAAATTTCCTGGGCATTATTTATGTATTTAGCATCATGTTAGATATTTTTGGATTCATTCCATCTTTTTACACACATTGTGACCTAGAAAACTCTTGTAAGGAAGAACAAAGCACAAATTTAATTTAAGCGGTTAATCAGAGCTAAATTCACATTCTCGATTGATCAATCATCTTGGATGATCATCCACCTCTCTTCATTTAATTGTTGATCAAGCTACCACGGTGATGGGTAGCTAAACTCTCTTGTGTCAAGATTAGAAGTAGTTAATCTAGATTATATGTACTTATTTTGATATTTTGTATGTGAACCTTGTTGATGATCAATATATGATGAATATATCTACTTATAATGTTATATGTTTGATTTGAATCACTATTGAAAGGTATTTTTTTAAACCTTGACCTAAGATATTAATCTAGTAATGAACAAACTCTAGACATATATTTGTGAGTTGATACTCACTTGTATCATGCTCTAAAGATTATTGTGTAGATTGTTAGCATGAGACATCATCTAGTAGTTAACATGATAATACTCACAGTATCGCTTTAGAGATAAATGGTATTAAAAGGATACATGATTATAATGATCATTAGCAAGTTCACATGCTTGATTAATAGAATATATATGAAATAGGTTAATGAACCATAATCTTGACATGCTTTTTAATCATAAAAATTCAATTTTTTTACCGTTATCAAATAATTTTCTTACAATCGTTACTTTCTGAAACTAAAACCTTTATGAAACCCTTACTAAAAACATGATCAACTATAAAACAGTTGTGATATCGCATCAATCCCCGTGAAAATGATAAAGAAAATACTCACCCTATCAAAAGTGTTTCAACACGGGTTTTGATAAATTAAATCTGACATTGCTTCTAACATATTGTAACTTGTCAGAATCCCCTGCAAAGTAGTTGGAAATGCTTGAGTGCTGCAATGAGAATACATGCTTAGTAGAATAATGGAAGATTGAAGAACCTAATGTAATACGGTGGGATAACTGACTTGTTTTTGCAATTTATCGCAAATGTTGCGAATAGCAAGAGTCTCCATCGACTTTTCTTTTATCCAATAAGGAAAGGGTGAAAAGAACAGGAAAGACCTTGATAGATTTTGAGTTCGGGGGGTAGATTATGAAAAGGGAAGGTGCTAGCTCACATTGTTTGAAAATGCTTTGTTTTCATGTGTTTTAAAAATATTTAGAAATGCCAATAGTAAGGAAACTTTGTAATGATTATTGAGAAAGCGTACAAAGTTTTTGTTTGGAAAATATTTCAGAAAAAGTGTTTGTGAAAAAGATGTTTTGAAATGTTCGCGAGCAAGCAATTAAGAACTATCTAACGACTCAAAGTCTTTCATGTTATTTTCCTCCTCCTTTAGATAGTGCTACCCTACCATTAGTTAGTAGGAAGCCCTGTTGTTAGATGTGAAGGGACATGCACGGATCATCGTACAATCATAAAGGAAACACGTAGGGGCACTTTAGCAATTTATCGTAAGGGACTAAGATTATTTACCGAAGGTAGCATCAAAGGGTCATCGAGGGACTACGATCTTTTTAACTGAGGGTCTTTGCTAAAGCGTCCCCATGTTCGAGGGACATGAATATTCTCCGAGGCAATAAGTGAGGTTACCTTAGAGGTGTGTGTATTAAGAGTGATTCATGTTCAATTATTTAGTCTTGTAATTTGGGTTATCTATCGATTTCTTTTTAATCTTCCGATACATGCCTAGTTACTAGCAGTTGAATATATCAATAATGAAAAGTAGTAAAGTACGAGAAATAAAATTCTACGCTCTTATAAGGCTTTAGAAGTTGGGGTACAAAATAGTAAAAATGGGGAAAAATAGTAAAACCTAATTAAACTATTACAACCATAAGCAGTTACATAATTGGAAAAAGAATGTGAAAGTAATAAAGTACGTGAAGCATTAAAATGATAAATAAAAGAGAAAATTGTTTTTGTGATTGCTTTGATGAAAAAAATTGACGATTAACCTAAAACCTAATAAATTTTTATTAATTAAAAAAAGTTAGTTAAATAAATTAAACAAAACGCTAAAATCTAAGTTGATTTTATTTTAATTAAGAAAACCTAAAAATCAAATTATGGTTGATTAAATTAAAAACCTAAAATTAAATTAGGGTTTGTTAAGAAAAATCAAAGGTTTGTGAAAAATGTTAGGTTTTATGAAAAAGGAAGAAAAGGTGTTAAAAAATAACAAAATGGTAGGGGTGGGTGTTGAATCCACACCCTCAGGACTTTCCAGCAGCACAAATACCACCAACCCAAGCACTCCTTGATATTAGGATCTGGTCTCAAGGCGTTTTGTATTCTATCTTGCAAAATATTAAAATATTAGAAACAAAGTGGCAAAAGGCTGGATCGAACTCAGGCCCTTTGGCACAAATGACTTATCGCGCGCGCTTCTACCTTTGGGACGACTGTACATCCAGTAGTTTAAATGAAATAATAAATATATAACATAAACATGAATGTATTAACCAGCGAGGCGTTGGTGCCCTAGCTCTGGTCATCTTCTCCGATGACCTTCTTTTGCCCAACCTGCAAAACAACTAAGATAAGCAATCCCAAAAAATCCTACCCCCCCCCCCCCCCCCTAAATTGAGGGTTGCGAGTTTGATGGGATGATTATTTTGGTCTAAAAACCCATGGATTTTGAGTTATGAATAAAAACGCATGAATCGACGTAGTTATGGTGATTCACGATTCTAATTGCATGGGACCTTCATGATTGTTCCATCCCTCACTACCAAACCTCATGAACACAATAGTGTCATTGATACATGTTAAAGCAAACAAAAAATCAAGATA